AACTTCCTGGTTAAATGCACTTCCGCGGTGCTCTGTGACAAGACCGTTAGGACTTCTTGGGGCACCTAAATAACAAATAAATAAAAAAAGTTTAAGTTTTTACACGCTAATTATCAGCCTTCATTAGTTTCCAAGAAACTAATAGAAGCTGATAATTAGTGTGTAAAAACTTAAACATATGAAGCTCAAATCTTCTATTATGGTGTTAAAACAGCGTAAGAAAAATTAAAAAAGGCATAGTGGATGTTGAGGTTTCAAATTTAAAAAAACAAACTTCATATATACCCGGTGGTTTTTAAGCATTATTTTTGAAATACTTTATTAAAAGTCTCGTTTCCAAGGTTTAATAATTTTCAAGATATTCCTCATTTCAATACATGTTTATTTAAAAATGGTATGGATTTATGAACTGAAATTTTCAGGGCATTTGTGTAATTTGTGAAATTTTCAGGGCATTTGTGACATTGATAAATCATTTTTCATAGGCAGTGCTGGACCAAGGGGCTAGGGGGGAGGGGCTATCGCATATAATACGATTATGAAAGGATTTACTAAATGAGTTAAATAAAGTATAGGTTGCTTTAGTTATATTTACTTTAGAAATACGTATATTTTCAGGATGCTATCCTAAAAATATACTTATTTCTAAAATTTCTACAAAGTGTATGCATATTTTATTTACTATTCTCGTGTGATGTTTTATAGAATTAATATTGGAAGAAGAATAGTGACCTTTAATATCAGCTGATATTACAATGACAACTACATTATTAACTAAGTACAATGCACGACTGGTAAGTTAGGTCTCCTACTGTACATAAACTGCTACTGAATATTCCTTCTATATCACATAAACTATCTTTGTCAATCGAGGTATATTCAGAAAATGCACTGAAGAGTTTGAATAAACAAATATGAAATTCTAGATTTGAACAAAAACATTGGAAAATATCTAATAAGTTAAACACTATAATGAATCAGATGCACTACTTTCAAGTAAGAAATGGTTCAAAAGTATCGAGCATATCTTTTAGAAAAACATAAGAATTATCGAAGAAAACCATTACAAGATGAAAAGTTTTTAGTACAAAAAACTCAGACGTGAAAAGTTTTTATATCCGTAAAAAATTCAGGTCTAAAAAGTTTTTTTGTTCCTGTAAAAAAATTCAGGCGCAAAAAGTTTTATAGCAGCCGTTTATAGTGGCGTAGTGATTGGAATTCTGGTTCAGAACCCAGAGGTTCGATGTTTAACGCCGACTCTAGCACTCTAAGCGACATTGGTAAAGAGCATGAACTTCCTAGTTAAATGCTTTTCCGCGGTGCTCTTGTTCTTTCAGGCCGCAAATTAAGAACTTGACAAAAAAAGGTTTAAAAAAACTTAAAAAATAAAATGGCGGATCCAATATGTCCATAAATGCTAAAAAATGGATCAAATTATAGAAGATGGTGTAAAACATAATTAAAACATTTTTTTTCAGTACAATCATTTTGGTCCTTTTATCTATATCTGTCTCTTTGTTGAAATCTTCATTATATTCAAAGTCTGTTTTCTTAGCATCTGCGTTAGAGTCTTCATAATCTTCTGCTACATAAAACAAGAGGGCAACAGCCTCTGGCAACAAAGTTTTCAATATTTTTGGTGTTGATTTTTGTAGAGATGAAATGTAGGGGTCTGAAGTGGCCAAAAATCTCCTGAACACAGTTTCCATAGTCTTAACTCTTGAAAACTTTCAAGAAATACCCAAATAATATTGTTTTATTAACTTATTGGTTGATTTTTAAACATCCTCGGACAGTTTTCCAATGGGTAAAATGACCAAAGAAATATTGTCTGGTCCGTGGATCAGCAATCTATTTACTGATGTTGGCATTTTGTACAAGGGATATTCTTTGATATAGTTACTTAGGCGTAACCTCGAAACCTTTTAATGTCGATTTCATGTCAACTCGAAATTGTTGGCAAAATTATATAAAACAGGTGGATTAATTCTTCGGGAACACCAATTATCAAGGATGACGCTTGAATGTTTTAAAAAAAAGTCGAGCGAAATTTTTGTCGTTTGTACTGCCCAACCCTTGTTTTGGCATGTCGACTAAAATTGCTAGTTGCTGTTTAAAAGCTTTTTGGAGGCTAGCTTTCATTGTTGCTTTTTCTTTATGCGCTTGCCATTCTTTCGTATTTTTTTTTGCATCTCAAATAAATGCAGCTTTCAAAACATTGAACCCAGGCCTGTAGAGTTGACAGTCCGTACTGTAGATAATCAGCGATTATCTACAGTGGAAGTTGCCTGGCAGAGATTACACTGTTGCGCAGATTTTGTGTTGGTGACAGCATTGCATACTTTACCATCTAATATGGTTATACTTAAACTGTATTTAATGAAAACATTTTTCATATAAATGGTTGTTTTAAATGATTGGAGTTATTTGATCTGTTTGTCAAAAGGCGTTTTCTCATTTAAAAAAGTTTCTTCGGTTTCCTTTGTAAATTGCAATTTCAGAGGTCTGCAAAATGGGTTGAAGATGAATTCGGATTACTCTATAAGAGATTTTCTTCTTTCGTTTCTTGATCTACACCTACAAGTTGCAATGAAACAAGCGAAGTAAAAAAAAAACTTGCATTTGATATATTCTGATCTTCGAAAGTCATTTTATAAATGCTTTGTCCGGATGTTCCGTTAAAGCCCCGCTTACAAATCAAAGTCATATTTAATATTTCTGAAACACTCTTATTTGTAATATTTCTCGGTTCAGCAGTAAAACACGTTGAACGATGTGGTCTAATAAAGCTTGCAACTGTACCTCAGCTTTTAATTTGGTAAAGTTTAAGGTATCATCTGGAGGGTAGCAACATTTTTTTGCTGCCAATACAGCTGAGTATGGTGAATAAAGTGTATTTAATCTTTTTTTTTGTGCCTGATTTCCCAAATGTTGGTACAAATCTTTCTTCAAATTTAGGTCTAATAGAAGTTCTAGAGCTTGATTAGCATTATAAAAGGATGGCAATGATACTGATATTTGTAAGCCTTTCTTGTATTTTTTTGCCTTAAATAGACTTGACAGTGTAACGTCATTCACAATCTTAGCAGCGTCTGAATGCCCTGAAAATCGAAGACTCATTTGCGTAGCGAACAATAATTCGACAGGACTGAACTTCGTACGCATCTTTATAGTCCTACTTCTTTTGGACCTATCAGATAAAGTTTCAAAATTTCTGGTGGGTTGACCCGTTGATTTTTTTACAGTTGTACGTATTGCATCAATCCGAAAATTTACTGAAGTTTTTTAAAAAACCCTTTTTGAAAAAGTAATCTTGTTGAGCTGCTTCCTTGTATTTGCTTCTAAACTTAGTCATTAAAACAGAAATAGTAGGTCTCATGTCGTTGGGAATTGAAACTACATATCCTATATTTTCTGTCAAGGACTTTTCCACTTGAAACTTGATTACTTGAAATTCGTTTGCAAAATATTCCTTTGCTATAACGAAGATCTCTTCCTCCAAGCTCCATAGCAACCAGTAGATCTGATAAACCTGAATTTATGTTATACTTACTTAAAATTTATTTACTCAATATTTAGTTAAGTTTTTAACTTTTTATTTTAATAAAATATAAAACTGTATTTATACCGTCATTTAAATGAATTCTATTCATTTCCAAATCGTTTGCAAAATATTCCTTTGTAATTAGTCTTATCTCGAAAGTCCGTAAACGGCAACCAAATTTTAAACAAAATTATTTAATTTTAAATTTTTATTTTGATAAAAATGTATAATGCAATTTAAATGAATTCCATACATCAAAAGAAAATGACTTAAAGACTTGAATTGCTGCATAAATTACATATAAATTACTGTATTAATACATTTATATTACTGCATAAATAAATATAAGTTACTATATAAATACTTTTAATACAATATAAATGCAATTTTTATTTATGTATGTATTTATTTATTTATTAACTCATTTATTAAATACTTAAAAGCGTTAAAAAACATCTGCACAGAGTATATACAATGTTTGTGTTTTGATTTATATGTAATTTTTTCTTAATTTAATTATGAAGTAACTTTTTAATGAAAAATATTTCTTAATATTAATAATGTGATTAAAAAAATAATCAAGTACTCAGTTTAAAATATGAAACAAGAAAAAAAAGGTAATGCAGTAATATTTTGAAAATTGGTAATCACTGTGTGTGACGATCACTGTCTTTTTCTAAGTTATTCATCTCGCTGTGTAGAAGAAAGTGTTATTCCCGTTCGTTTCTACTTTTAATATTCTTTATAATGCTTCTAGACATTGATTATAATTAAAATTGTACAAACGTAGCTAATAATTAAATAATTTTACTTTCATTTACAAAATGTCTCGATAACGGCATTTTGCAACTGTCATATAAAACATGGCTTTAAAGTAGAGTTGGTACTAGAGGTGAATTTGAATGTTAAATTAAAAAAATAATATAATTTTATTCAACATTTTTCTGTATTAAGGTAATTTAAAAAAAACATTTATAACTAAAGATTTGATAATAATATTTTGTTTTCTAATTGGTACATACCTCGTGAAACGAATTCCATAATGTAAATATTTATTTCACGTACACACAACAAAAATATTCATCTTTGAAAAAAAGACAATTTTTTTAGCTTTAACGGTTGCAAGCATGACAGACAAAGGACTGCCGCGTTGACCTGCAGTATAGCACACGAAATGAACAGCTGATCTTCTGCACAGCCGGCATTAAGTAGTTCCAACATCACTGAAGCCAACCTGATAGTCCAAAATAACGTGTCGAAACTTTTTTTTTCCTTTTTGACCAGCTTTTTTGAGATCTGAACCCTTGTGCGCCGCTTAGGTAAAATGCGGAGGTTGGCGTCAAACCCCCCTTATGGTATTTGGCCCCCTTACATGTACTTTCCCATCATGATCGTTGTTTTCCGGTTTCTTTTTTACCGTACTCGGAGCGAAAAACTGAACCGGTTATTCTCTAGTAGTTTAAAATACGATAGTTCTCAAAACAATAACAGTCGTTTGTTTATAATTTTTAGGACTCTTTAGCCTAAAACAGTAAAAACATAGAGTTTGAAAATATAAGTAAATCGAAATCTTTTATCATGGCATTTAGGAAGAACACTGATTCTGATGGAAAAAAATTATATTTTCCTGAAGGAGCTTTGCTAAATCAAATGGAAGTTGCTGTCGTTGAATCAGAACGAAGGAAAAGTGATATTTTAAAAGAACCATTTATTGTATATCTTGTTGAGTCAAGGTTAGTGACATTTTATTTTTCTCTAATTTTTATTTTATTGCATAATTTTGTTTTATTACATTTGTTGTGAGAATTTTAAAGTCTGTTGAGGTCTAGTTCAGTAAGAATTAAAGAAGTAAAACAATCAAAAGATTTAACTAAAGTTAAGTTTGAAATAATTTATTTATAAGAAATTTAAATTATGATAAAATTTGATATAATAATTTAAAAACACTTTATTTAAAATATGATTTGTAATTATTGTTTTAAATTTCTTCCGAATTTAACCTAACCATACCCATAAATATACCAGAATATGTTTATATCAGCTTTATTATCGTCGTCATTTTAATTTGTTTTGAATTTTTTTATAAATGCTTTTAAGTCTTAAAAAAGCTTCAATAGTACTATTTTTATATTTTATAATAATGTTATGGATGAATTGAAACAGGCTTTTTACAAAAGGATGTTCAACACTCACAATGTTCAAATGTCACAATGTTAAATATTATTTTCTCTTTAATCTCAACTTCTTGTTTTGTCTGTTGTTGTATATTATATAATACCTTTTTAATTTTACCATTTTTTTATTGCAAAGTTTTGTTTTCTGAACAAATTTATGTTTAAAGTTGATTTCTTCAATATCATCTAGTAATTTGCTCTAGTGATATGTTCCAGTAATTATCTCCAATTTTATGTCCCAGTAACTTATTCTAGTAGTATATTTTAATAATATATCTGAGTAATTTGTTTCACTAATTTGTTGGAGTAATTTTTTTCAGTGATCTGTTTCTTTATTTTTCTCTAGTAACTTGTTCCAGCAATTTTTTTAAAGTTAAATATGCTGTAAATTGTTTCAGTAATTTGACCTAGTAATTTGCTCCAGTAATATATTCTTTTAATATGTTCCTTTAATATGTTTTTGTAATATGTTTCAATAATTTGTTGATATAACATGTTTCAGTATTTTTCTTTAATAATCTGTTACAGTATTTTTTCCCAGTAATTTGTTGCAGTATTTTGTTTTAGTAATATGTTCTTAATATATTGTTTAATGATTTCTTTAAATTTAGTAATTTAGATCATTATAATCCTCTTGCTACCGGTAACATGTAATCCAGTACAACCTGACTTACGTTCTTCTGTCTTCTAAGAATTGCTTTGTAGGTAAAAAAAAAAAAAATGAAGTTAACTCTGCCTTAAAAAACTCCCCAAAAAACTTTAAGATCCTGTCCAGCTTTTATTTAAAAAAATTTATCCTTTACAAATATTTATGGTGGTCGTTCCATACCAAATCACCTAATGGTCCCCAGGGTACCACCTCAGACTTGCTTTAAATTTTGACCACCCAACTTGATTGGTTTAAATTTTTTAAAATTAATGTGCTACAATTTAATACCTACAGATAGGCAGTGCAAATATTTTGTTACTTCTGTGTACTTAGGATAACCACCTGTGGTAAACCAAAATTATGCATTAAAAGTTAGTTAAACACTTGAAGCAGTCTGTTTTTTTATTTATCACTTTTTTTTTTGAAAAATTTGATAAATATACAATTACATTCACTTTGCAGGTATAGAAAATAGCATAATCAGTTGAAATAAACTATAAAACTTTTTTTCTGTTGAAGTTCTATATATAAGCAATCACCAAAAAAAAAAAAGTTAAAACCTGTATTTTATCATATGACATGATTGTAGCCCTATGACCTAGGTGTATATTTTTAATATTTCCCTGAATGAATACATTCAATTTTCTCTTAAATGATATAATCAGTGTCTTAATTTCAATTTATTTGATATGATTTTGAAATATGTATTTAATTTTAGGCATATAATTTACACATGAATATAATTTGAGTGTAAAACACTTTAATTGTATTAAGAGTATGCAGTTGTGGTAGAGCGCTTGCTTAATAAGGACGTGGTTCTGAGTTTGATCCCCGCCACATTCGCCACAGTAGTACCGTGCTTAACTTGTTTCTCGGTACAGTAGCCTTGTTCGTCAAGGTTTGTGTTTCAGAATTATAGAGTTGAGAGAGGGTTATAACCACAATGAAGTAGCCTCCTTGTCTGTAGTGGCCTTCTCAGCCTTGGGGAGGTGAATTGCCACACAAAAAAAAAGTTGGTTGTTAAATCTAAATCTAAAGTTTTAAGAATTATATTGTATATATATGTATATATATATATATATATATATATATATATATATATATATATATATATATATATATATATATATATATATATATATATATATATATATATAATACTATAAAGGGCGGTAAATATATATATTATAAAATTTAAATATTGGAAATATCAAAATATATATATATTAGAAAATACTCTAAAATGTAAGTAAATACAATAAATTAGGATATGGAAATCAAAAAGTTAAAAAACTGGATACAAGTATGATAAACTTAATAGCATCAGCATTGAGTATAGACCCAAAAAATATAGTATTTGAAAAAGAGCAAAACTATATCGATTTAAACAAACCTTTTAAATGCAAAAAAAAAAAGTAAAAATAAGTTTGAAGAGAAAAAAAGTTCAACTACTCAAAAGTTAATTCCTGTTAGTTAATTGAAAAAACATTTCAGTTTAATATATTATAGTATTTAATATATTCTAATGTAAGCAATATTAATAATAAATTTTGATAAAGAGATTTCATTCTTGGTGATAGTTTCATAACTTTTATAAAAAAATGTTTAAATTTACAAAAGTTTATAAAATTTATTTTTCTAAAATTCTTGATTAAAGTTTTGTTGATCAATAAAACCTGTGGGTAAATTTTTTACTTCAAAGTGTTTATCTTGGACAAAATAGCTTCTTTCTAAAATTTTCAATTCTTTCTAAAATTGAATTCAATGCTTTACATTGTACATGTACAATGTAAAGTACTTATATATGTTGTTTCCATGTTACATTGTACATGTACAATGTAAAGTACTTATATATGTTGTTTTCATGTTACATTGTACATGTACAATGTAAAGTACTTATATATGTTGTTTCTTTTTCATGTTAACATTTACTTAATGATTTATAAAATATATTGTCAGTTTTAAGATGCAATTATATATTTTTTATTAAAAGAACTTTTATTTTTGATGAAATTTTTTTACTGTATTAATGTAATCATGCTGTGTACCCATGCTACCCTTGTAAGGATGCATTGATACAAAAGACTGCATTTAGAAATTTCAAAAGTATTGTTTGTAACTGTTAATGATCTTGATAAATTTGAAAAATAGAAAAAATGTTTTTCTTACAAGGTTTTTTCTTTAAACACATTTTGAGATTTTAGGTTAAGAAATTATTTTTTTAACAACCATTAAAAGCTCTTCTTATTTTTAAATGCAGTTTTTTAAATAATTCTATGTAGTTTTTATTGATTTGATGTAAACATTAGTTTGGTGAAGCAAGATTTTAATTTATTAATCAAATGAAATAAAGTTTTGTGACTACTACAAAGGTCAATCTATATTTTTATATATTTTTCTGTCTAATTCCAAGGTTAAAAAGAAAATTTATTTATACATTCTAAATTTCATGGTTTTGTAATCTTTATTTGTTTCAAATTACATAAAAATTGGTTTAATGATTTTTCCTACAATTACATTGTAAATGTTTTATTTTTAAAAGTTATACTTAAGTAAAATATAAGAATGATTTGAGCTTTAATAAGTATATAAGATATAAGATATAAGATATAGGTATAAGAGATTATTTTTAAAAGCATTTAAGTAATATAAATAAAAAAAAGTTGTAATATATATTTTATTTAATCTATTTTTATCTTCCTATGTAATAGATATTTATTTATATTTGCTTTAATACTATAAAGGGCGGTAGATGGTCTAGAACCAGGATGTACATTATGGCGAAGATATAGCGAGTTTGAAACACTTCGAAATTATTTAATGGCAATCTATCCTTTTGTAAGTAAAGTTTTTTTTAAATTTTTTATTGATTTTAAAAAAATCCTAAAGAATTTTTGAAAGAATCCTAAAGTATTTTTGAAAGAATCCTAAATTATTTTTGAAAGAATCCTAAATTATTTTTGAAAGAATCCTAAAGTATTTTTGAAAGAATCCTAAATTTATTTTTCATAAATTAAACAACTTTTAATTCTCTTTATTTTTAGATATTTATAAAAAAATTAAACTAGGTTGAATAAAAAAACAATGTTCAAGCTTCAGTGTTACTTTTTTTGTTTACAAAATGCTAATGTTTATTTATTTTTCATAACAGTCACTAATTTTTTTGCAGTGCCTAAGGTCATATTATAACTATAAATAAATGGCTGACAACTTGTTAATTTAAAAAAGTTATTTTACTCTACAGCAATTATTTTGTATTTAGTTGAGTAGAATTTTAGTTATAGATGTAAATATAATTGTTGCATAATTATAATACAAAGTTATAATAAAGTTTGTAAAAAAAAACAAACACAGATATGCAGTGCAGAAAAATTTATTTGCTTAAAATCCTTGTTGTGAAATATTGTGTAATATTACTATAACATTAATGGCAATAAGGTCAAGTTTGAAAAGTTGTTTATAAAAGGAAAGCATTATCGTTGTAACTAAGATAAAAATGCGAAAGCCATTTTAAAAACAAACCAATAATTTCATAATAAACTGCAATGCTTTTTTAATGGCTAGGTTATTGCAAAAAAAAAAAAAAGAAAAAGAAAAAAGTTTAATAAAAAGCACCAATTGAAATACAATTGTTTTTAATTAGAATGAGCTAACAGATTGGTTTCTTAAATAAAAAATCAGTTGCCATTATGAAAAAATAAATTGATGATATTTTGTCATAAATCTTTTTCTTAGTCAATGCTGTGTTCCAATTAAAGCTATCATTTAAAGTTTAGTTTATAATATTAAACCTTTTTTAAAAATACATTTGAAAAAATAAAACTTTTTTTTTGAATATTATAATTGCTTTTTTTATTTTGCTCAAACTCCTCAAATATATAATATAAATTATTATGCACTAAATTTTTGCATAATTGTTTATTTATTATGTAATGAATTATATAATTTATATATTAGTTATTATGAACTATCTAAATTTGTCTCAAAATGAGCAAAATAAAAAAATATAATGCACAAATAAATGTTCTGCTAGAAAAATTGTAATTATATGAACAGTTTTAATATAGAAACTTTAATTGTTGTAATAATTCTTTGTTTTTTATAAGCAGTAAAATTTTTTTTGGCTGTTTTATCAAATTTTTTATCAAATTTTTCATCAAATTTTTTTATCAAACTTTTTATCAAATAAGTAAAGTTGTTAACAAATGTATAGCTAGTGTTAAAATGCAAAAAAAAATGCTTTTGTATAAGCAATTTTTTAATGAATAAACAGATAGCTTTTACAAAAATCAAAAGCTCTTGTAAAAAACTGTTTAGAAGAGCAACCCGCAGGGCTTGCCATGTTTATTTTAGGAGAGCTTTTCTATGCTCGATGTTTCTATGCTCTTGTACTCATTTACTTCTGCCAAGCCCTGCTGCTGACAATTTAATAATTTGTAAATCTTTCAGTGTTTCAAATCATTTTCCGAGTCAAAACAAGATTTATTAGTTGACTGCAATCTTTGTTATATTTTTTTATTAATTCTACAATTTTCTCCATCAGCAATGCCAAATAACATCTAAGGTTTTTTTTATAATCCTATTTAATCTGTTTGCTTATCAAATCAAAATAATTTTTCACCAGACTTCAGGACCATTGTATATGTATTAAAATATATTGAAAGCTGGTGACCAGTTTACTGTTTCAACTAACTTTTTAATGTTTAATTTTATAGTTATTGCAAAATTATTTAATAATAAATAATAAAATATCTCTCATATTCTTATATATTTTTCTTAAAAATATTTGTAAAAGGATTTTTACAAAATTTAAAGTTTTTTAGAATCTTGTTTTTAATGTTCATTTTTATTATTGTAAATTTTTTGTTTACTTAAATATTTTTTTATGGTTTGGTGTAAATTTTGTAAATTAATTTTTAAATATATTTGCAAAATTTTTGTGCAGATTGTTCTTCCTCCTCTACCTGAAAAACGGGTAAGTTTCCAAATTTCTTATATTTTTTATAGGCCATTTTTTCTTGTATGCTTTTTCTTATTTTTAAAAGTAATTAAAAAAAAATATTTATATCATACAACTTCATATCTGTTTACAGCCATTACCTTTTCAGATTAATGTTGCAAAGTTCCAACTTGCGGCTGACAAGTTTGATCCAGATTTTATTGAACGAAGGCGACAAGGATTGGAAGTAAGAAAAAAAAAAAAACTTAATTTTTGACTCTAGAAAAAAAAATGTCCTCAAAATTATTTAGTAATTTTTACAATTACCAAATTGGTATAGTGGTAGATGCTTTGTAAGCATAAGGTACAGTACTAAGTATTAACTAACTAAGTCCTTGGAACACTCAACTTCTTTCTCTTTGTCTTGTTTGTCAAGTTTTATATTTTGGAATTATATGGTTAAAGGAGTATACCAACAATTCAAAATATAAAAATAGAAGATTCTCCTTGATTAGTGTCCCTCCTTGACTAGTGTCCTTTCAGTATTTAAGGAGGTGAATGTATTAAAGAAAATAAAGTTAGTAACTATATTGTATATTTAGTCAAGGCTTCCCAGGAAAGGCATGCGGTTTTTCGTCTCATATGACCACACGCGATTATAATATTTTAGAAAATGTGAACACGGCCGTTTGCAAGTTTTATAATAATGTTAAAAAAGTTTCAAAAACAAAAAAATAAATCTAACAAAATAATAAGACATTGAAATAGAAAAAAAACAAATTAATAATTTAAATAATTTGTGTACTGTTTTTATTTTTGTTTCTTTAGAGTTACATTCAGCAACTTAGATAAAATTAGATAAGGCGAAGCAAAAAAAAAACAGTTTGAAGTCTACAATAAAAAGAATGATTTTCCTTTTCTTAATTTTTTTTAAGAGGATAGAAAAAATACAAATTGCAAGGTGTTTGCAAATTCATTCTTTTTTCAAGCAACATTAGTATTCTCAAATTTTAATTGAAGTAGAAAAATATCTAGAAGAATAAAGTGGATGTTCAAATAATATTAAAACTAAAGTAACTTAAACTAAAGTAACTAAAGTAATATAAACGTGATAAGCATTATGAAAACGTATCGTATTAAAAGTTTAGCATTATTAGTACTTTTTTATAACGTTGTTTAAGTGATATGTGATATCCTGAAGTTGTTAATAATATTTGAATATCCGCTTTATTTTTTCTAGATGCTCTTCTACTTTAATAAATGTTTGGAATTAATAATGTTGTCTAAACAAACAATGAACTTTAAAAGTAATAAGTGCTTTATAAATGTAATAACACTATTATAGTTTTATTACTTTTATTATGCAGTTAGTAACTAAAGTGTTATTGCTTTTTTAGTCGTAAGTTTATTGTTTTTGTTTTGTTTTTTGTAACTTTCTTGCTAGCAAACTTTTAATAATTTGCTCCTTATAAACAAAGTACACAGCTTTGCATGAACTAAAATTTTAAAGACCTAATATTTTACCAGAGTTTGCAAATTGCGATCGTATAATTTAACTCTTGATATATACTTGTTACATTATAATTATACAAATATATTTTACAAACAGATGACGATACATATTTTCTCTTTCGTCTTTAAAAGAAAACACACATAAAATATGGGAAAGTCATACTTTTTAATGCCTAAAACTGTTTTTTTTTTTTTTTTTTTTTTTTGCTTTGACTTAATGAATTTTGTTGGGGACTCTCCATTAATTACGTCAACAAATTTTTTGAAATTTTTACCTCCTACCCTCCCCCTCGTCAACAATTTGTCAAATTTCCAGAAACCCCCCCCCTATAAAATTACATCAACTTTTGATTACCTCCTCGCCCTATACAAAGAAACTACGCTACAAACTCAGCCTAAAAACACACAAAAAAAAAAATTGTTGAGGTCAACTTCAATTGACCCCTTCCTCCCCCGTGTCAACAATTATCAAAAAAGTTCACACCCCTCCCCCCATTTTGTTGACATAATTAATGGACAACCACTTGCCGATAATAATAACCACGAAACAATTTTTCAGTAACGCATATAATATAACTTGGGCAAATGGCCGTGATCACGTTCTCTAACTTGAAAAACGTTTTTTGTGGTCGTACGAGACGAAAAACCGCACGCCTTTCCTGGGAAGGCTTGATTTAGTGTATTGTTTTTTAAATACGTTTTTATAAATAGTTTTAATGTTGTAACTATTATTTTATTAGTGTTTTTTATTGCGACTTGCATCCCATCCGGTTATATCTCAAGATGTAATATTCAGAGGATTTCTAAACCAGGTTATATATTTTCATGTTCATTTAACTTTTACTAAAGATTTAAACTTTCACAGTGCTTTAATGCACCTTTCAAGAGTGCATTAAAGCACCTTTCAAGAGTGCATTAAAACACTAAGAGTGTTTTTTACTAATAGATGGGTAAAAATCATTTATATCAAAAATTAGAAATTTGCAAAGGTATTTATTTTTGACTTTTTTAAACCAATTAATAACAAATTGGGTGCTTTGTCATTGATTCAACTGTAGTTTATTTTTTAATTCGTGAATAATTTTAGATAAAATAACTTTACTAATTCTTCCTACCTCGTTTTTTGAAGGGTTTAAAAGGCGAACTGAAAATTATAATAAAATTATCTTTATGGTCTTTTAAAGTGAAAAAACAGCCGGACGATCCATTTATCTCAATATTGTTATACACTTTATCTCAATATTGTTATACACTTTAACAAATTGTTAATAACTATTTATTAAAAACAATTTATTGCTTTATATGTAAAGAGGTATAAAAGTGTTAATTATAATAATTTATAATTAACACTTTCATACCTCCAATTATTTGTTCCTGTTGTGCCTTTTAGGCATAAAACTTTTGGGCATTTACCTTTTTTTTGATTATTTGTTATTTTCCTTTCCAATTCAACTATTCTATTTGTTAGCTTTTTACTGCTTTTGAGTAACCTTTTCCCTGCCACAGAGACTATTTTAAATTTATGTCTTTTTTTCTGTATTATAATAATGTGTATATACTATCTTTATTAATATATGTGTATTTTATTTGTTATTGTTTTTTTTAACAAATATGTTTACCTTCTTTAAAACCAGTGCACTGGTTTTAAAGAAGGTAATATGTTTACCTTCTTTAAAACCAGTGCATGGTTTTTAAACTTTTATTACTGCTTTTACATTAACAGTTAATTATATAATAAGCTATATATTAACTATATATTAATTATATACCTAATTCATGGGTTAGAAAAAAATGATATCTAGATATGAATCAGTATTTTTTAAAAGGACAGATCTGCTTAAAATGTTTTAAGCAAACCTGCCTTTTTAAAAAATACTGATTCATATTAATCAATTGTTTTTTTAATTATATATATTAGTTATATGCTAAGAATTATTTGATTGATTACTTATGCATTTAGGTTACTTATGCCTTTAGACAAAATTTTAAACTTTTAAAAAAAAACTTTGAATTATATATAAATTTGTTTATTCAATTTTTTTACATAATTAAATTATATATTTTTTTTAAATTAAGGAAGTAGGTTGGAAAGAAAGTGTTTCAGAAACAAATTGGCAACAAAAGGTTTGCTTTTTAGTTATATATATATATATATATATATATATATATATATATATATATATATATATATATATATATATATATATATATATATATATATATATATATAAATATATATTTATATATATATATGTATATATATATATATGTATACATGTATATATATATATATATATATATATATATATATATACATATATATATATATATATATATATATATATATATATATATATATATATATATATATATACATATATATATATATATATACATATATATATATATATATATATATATATATATATACATATGCATATATATATATATATATATGTATATATATATATATATATATGTATATGTATATATATATATATACATATATATATACATATATATATATATATATATATATATATATATATATATATATATATATATATATATATATGTATATGTATATATATATATATATGTATATATATAAATATATCTATCTATCTATATATATATATATATATATATATATATATATATATATATATATATATATATATATATATATATATATATATATATGTATATATATATATATATATATATATATATAAATATATCTATCTATCTATATATATATATATATATATATATATATATATATATATATATATATATATATATATATATATATATATATATATATATATATATATATATATATATATATACATATATATATATATATATATATATATATATATATATATATATATATATATATATACATACATACATACATATATACAGTCCTAGATCAAATTATCAGCACACTTTATAAATTTTTAGGTGCCATTTCAAATGGCCTGAAATGTCTTTATTTGCTGATTTATGTTTTTTGAATTATTAATTACTGAAGAAATTTATTAAATTTCTTTTAATAAATTTCTTCAGTTTCACTAAGAGTGCTGCCCAAAGCTATTGCATTTTATAAAAGGTCAACAAATTTTTACTTAGAAAACAAATCCAAGAATTTTACAAGACAAAGAAAATAAAGCTATTGTGATAGCCAGCCATTTTCATCAAATCGTCAGGTGAGAACCAGGGGCCATATATCTTTTTCACACTCAAACCAAACTTAAAACCATTACCAGAATGTTCTACTGATTATTTATATATTTCCAAAAAACCTTTTTTTGAGAATAGATTTATTGGTCATATGCTCCACTGGTTGGCAAATATTTATTGATAATAAACTGTAAAAACACCAAATGTGGACATACAGCCTCTTTGTTCTTAGCTGATAAAATATTAGGCAAACAACATTTCATTTCATTAAATACACACTGGAATCATAAGATGAAAGCAAAAAATTAAATTTTTTTGATGTTCAAATAACCAAAAATCTAACAGCTAGTAATGATTTCAACATATTTACTGGAAATAACTATTAAAAAACATTCCGGTAAATTACAATTCATACCACAATATAATTTTTTTAGATGTTTAAAGAGTTTATCTTTAGAGTTATTGATTTTTTAATGTTTTTGCTGAGAACAGAAACAAATGAACAAAAGAAAAAATTAAAAAACTAATGATGTTTCACAAAAACTTGACACACTCAATAATAAAAAGTCTTGTTTAGCAAAGGCGCAATCATGCTAACTATTAATATCACTATCGTAGTTAACTATTAATATTGCATCATATAATATTAACTATTAATATCACTATTGCAGATTCCAACATTATCACCAAAGAATTTACAAATCTTTAAGAAAACTAATTAAAGAATTGTTTTAAATCAAACCCTTAAATCCTTTCTTATCTCGCTCACACAACTTCTTCATTCTTGCACAACAAAGCAAAACTACAGGAAAGTACTATCACAGGAAAGTATTTTAGGGAATCCATTAAAATTGATGTTACTGTTTGAATGTAATTAAAGCTGAAGATTCTAAATAAAAGTATGAGTATGAAGGCAGTTTATTTCAGGAAAAATTTTTCTTTTTTGTCTAAATACTGTTCAGACTGTCCATATTTTAATACTTAAAGTGTACCAAATATATTAGAACAGTGCCAATCTGTTTCAAATTATTTTTTGAATAATAAAAACAAAAGAAATATTTTATTAATGCTATGTCTGGTTTGTCAAAGGAGATCATCTAATTTATAGCATAATTTATATTTACTTAAGTAATTTATGCTTATTGCAAAATTTATACTCACATCTGATGTGAGTATAAATTACGTCAAATAAGCACAAAGTGAGTATAGTAATATGGATCAAATATAAAGCATTTTTAATAATTATATATAATAGACAGAAATAAAAAGCATTGAAGTTATAAAAAACCAGTTTGTTATAGTTTCTTAATTTTTTTTTTTAGTCTGACAGTCGTTTTAAGAGCATTAGTGCTTCTATGAGTATCAAGAAACCTGATCAGTATGTTATTTTTTGTTTATTTTGTATTATCAATGTATTCATTTCTAATACAACAGTTCATTTAAAATGCTGACCAAACCTACTTGTCATAACCTGTCACAGATTAAAATGGGCAATCAAAGTTAAATGTTATATCTCATATGCCTTATAATTATAGCTGTTATGGTATTTCCTGAGTAGATGACATTAAACAATGATAATTTTTTTATTGATATATAGAAGATTAACATTAATAATAGATCTAATCTAGATCAACCTAATGAGAGAAAGGTTTTTATCGCAATGGTTTAAAAAATATTTAGTAAGTATCCAAAATAAAAGAGTAAGAAGTACATGAAAATTAAAATAAAAGAGTAAGAAATACATGAAAATTACGGCGTAAAAGTTGTAAAATTCTGATGTTTTTGTAATGAGTAGTAAAGAATGTATTTGTTTAAAGATGTTACTCTAAAATACAATGACTGAAAAGTACTGTTTGACAATGTGGCTATAAAACTCTGTGATGCATCAGTCTTTATATTCATATTACAGTTGTTTGCATAGAAACACTTTTTACATTTTTGTTTTATTACATGCTACATAATTAAATAAGCCATAATTTTAAATGTGTATCGTGTAATTGCATGTTTGTTAAAATGTTTTTTTCAGTGTTTTTTTAAGTGTATGTGTGTTCTATGTGTAATGTATGTGCTATGTTAAAAAATTAAATGCAATGTCAAATTATTTTTTTTCAGATTATTTTTAATAGGCACAGTATTGATAGATTTTTATTTTTGTAAGTTTATAATGTGTATTGCTAAAGTAATTAATAATATAACTTAAACTTATTTGATATTTCCAAATAAGTAGTTAAGATTTATCTAGTATCTGACAAAGTGTAATAAGGTTTGAATTTTTTAACATATGATTAAAGGTTTTAGTCAGGGTAGAGTCTAAGGGTAAACTTCAGACATAAGTTGGTTTTGATTAGGGATATAAAAAGTTAAAACATTAGTATATTTGATTGTGTTATGAAAAATTATAATTTTTTGCATAAGATTTTTTACTGTTTTTTATAATTATATTGTTTATTATGTTAGAAATGTTTCTACTGGTATTTTCAGGTATAAAATTTAAACAAAAGATCAAGGCTAACTAAAGCTAAGTGCTTTTTGAATACATCTATTTATCAGAAAGAATTCACCTGGTACATCAGTTTTTTTGATCAATAAAACATTAGCTTCAAGTATTATATCTGTTTAAAATATGGTATACCTGGTATTCCTTCACCATTCCTTAAACAATGTTTTTATCAAATTATCTAAACTGTTAGATACTGCACAGTGACTATTCAAATGAAGGACAGTTATGAAACAAACATCAACCACACACAGGCGTTCTTTGTAATCAGGAAATGTTTAATATATGCTTTTGCAAATGTTTTGATAACAAAAACAGAGATTGTAAACAATATCAGTATAATGTTAAAGTTCCATTATTAGAATGAAATTTTAGGCTTTATCAAAAAGAATTCAGAAATACGATAATTCATAATATAGGCAAAAAAGACAAGTAACAACAAATAAAATTCTACATTAAGTCCAAAAATGTTTTCTAATTAGGTTAGGCTATTGATGTTACAGAATATTACAGGAGATAATATCTGTTTTAAGTATAATAGAACTTCTATAGATTTTTTGCAAGTTTGCAGATTATAAAAATTTAAATACAGGTCTCAGAAATTGGATTATTAGAAAAAACTAAACAGCAATTGGTGAATCATTGTGGTGTGACTAATATGTTTATATATATATATATATATATATATATATATATATATATATATATATATATATATATACATATATATATACATATATATATATATATATATATATATATATATATATATATATATATATATATATATATATATATATATATATATATATATATATATATATATATACATATATAATATATATATATATATATATATATGTATATATATATATATATATATATATATATATATATATATATATATATATATATATAAATATATATATATATATATATATATATATATATATATATATATACATATATATATATATGTGTATATATATATACATATATATATATATATATATATATATATATATATATATATATATATATATATATATATATATACATACACATACATACATATATGTTCTCTAACACCACTGACCTTGCTGACACTAAAACCCATAACTTCTACACATCTCCATCTCTTTCTCAGATAGTTAACTTTGTGATTTGTTTTCCTGACAGCCCTAATCATTTACCTTCACTCCTTAATTTATGTCTTGTTTTTGATCCTAGCTTGTGTTCAGTTACTCTTTTATCTCCCTTAGGTGGTTCTGACCCTATCATTAGACTACTTACTATTACCCTAAAGCTAACTGATGATTTTCTTTGTGACAATTCTTGATCCTCAATCTTTTCTCTCTCAACTGAAAAATGTGCTTCTTACGCAGGGCTTGTGATGAATCGAGCGCGATCGTGCTCCGCTCGTGAAACACGCCCGTAAATGGTATTTTGAAACGTTCCAGGCGCGATAAACAACGCTCGTTCAGCTTATAACGAGCGTATAAAATAACGCTCGTCCAAGAGTTTGGGGAAAAACAAATAATAACTTTTTTTTTTATTTTCATAAAATATGAAAAAAAGATTTTTTAATAAAGATTTTATATTATCGAAGCACTAATATAATATAAAATAAAAAAAGCACTACGTCGTTCTTTTTTGCACTAACCTAATGAATGAGCAGTTTGAAGTCGTTAATAGGCACTAATTTCATTGATGGAATGTGCATGTAGAAATTCAATGCAAATACAAAAATGCACAAATAAAATAATAAAAAATTAGTAAACCATTATAAGAAAATTGAAACTGCAGAATATTTTTAATCTTGTGAAAACATCAAGTAAGATTTATTTGATTTATTGATTGTAATATTCCATACATCGTTTATAATAAAAATAAATAATAATGATTCAGTAATTTTTTTAATTAGTTTTTGTTTATAGTATAAGTTTTTTATTAACTATTATTTATTTTAACTCAAATTTAAAACGATTCTGTTGTTTAGAATGTCCGCAATCAATGACATTTCAAAAGGAAACAAAGTAATGTTGTCAACATTTATTAAATGGAAAGTTCAAGAGGTAATAGGCTTTAGAACTGAAGTTACCAGATATGAGTGACGAATTAGCTGCATTCAGTTTCGAAAATGTAGAAGAGGAAACACGGTTGACAACAGTTGAGGGGAAAATCTGTTATTTAACCTATAATGAATAGTTTAAAAAAAAAAAGATTTTCAAACTTTCTTGTGTTATTTTTTTAAGATAAAAAAATCGTAATTTAAAAAAAAAATTTTAGAAATAAATTAATTTGAATAAAAAATATCAAGAAATATAAAAACTATTTTTAAATACATATATCAAAACAACGAAACAAAAAAAGGCACTAAATTATAAAAAAGTCACTAAATTATACTTCAATACTAAATCAACAAGAAGTTGCGTTTTTGTTTGATATATTTTTTTTTATAACATAAATAGTTAAAAAAAAATCCCGATCTGACAATATACAAGAGTGTTAATTCATGAGTGTGATACTAATTATAACATTTGTCGATGAAAGAATGATGTAACAAATAAAAAAAGATCTTCTTCAGCAATTTTCATGATCGCGCTTGTCGATGTTATCTTGAGCGCACATAATCACGCTCGATGAAAACATATTTTAATTTTACGAGCGCGATATAACATGCTTGACGATTTTATTCGTCACAAGCCCTGTTACATAACCTCCTAGTTTAAGGCAAAAATAGAAGCTTTTATTCCTTTTTGTTGGTTGCAAGTCAAACCTCATTCTTCTCCATGGTTTTTACCTTCTTGTGCTATAATTGCTATATTTAATCATAATTGTTTTTTTCCATCTTTTTCAAAAAAATAACTTTCTTGAAAACAAAAGATTATTTATTATTGCAAGAAATCAACATAAAAAGGTGTCTGATGCAAAACTCCATTACACAAAATCTAAAAATAAAGCTTACTGGAATTCTTTTTGTGATTAATTTAGCTCTATCTTATCTCAGAAGTTAGGCTCTAGAGGCTTTTAACAAATTTTCAACAGTGTCATTAACAAGGAAAGGTCTAATATTCCATCTCTCATTCATGGAACTGATGTTACCTCTCCCAATCATAAGGCAGAACTATTTGCAAAGAAGTTTTCTTCAAATTTGACTCTTAAATCTTATGGCCGTTCTTTTCCTTCCATTCCAATTAAACAGGTTAACCCATTGTTAGACATTCAAATCACTCTAGCTTTCGTTGCTTAAGTTATATCTCAATTAAACTTTTTTTTGTGGTCCAGACAACGTTCCTGTCATAGTCATAGTCATAGTTTTGTGGTCCAGACAACCAATACAGTTTTCAATCCTCTCTCTTTACGGTTGACTTGCTAGCTGCTGTGACTGAATAATTTTATTGTGCATTAGATAGAGGTGGAGAGACTAGGGCTATTGCTCTTGAAATATTCAAGGTTTTCAACAAATTTTAGCATGTTGGTCTCCTCCATAAGCTTGTTTCATTTGGTATATCTAGGAATGTTTTTGAGATTATCAAATCATTTCTTTCTAACTGCTTTATTAAAGTCATCCTTGAAGACCAACGCTCTTCTTCATCTTTAGTAATTTCTGGGGTACCTGTCCTGTCTGTAATGATTTCAATTTATTTATTATAATAAGCTTTATAATGAATAAACATTTAATTATTTCAATAATCATTTTTTCAGTCATTATAAAATTTATATAAAGTATTTTTTCATATTTATAAAATATTTTTTTTTTTGTAGTTGACATTTTGTTTTTGAATATTAAAAGTTAAAGCATGATGAAGTAAAATTATGAATAAAAATTCATTAGATAAAAATTTTTTTTAATATAAGTTTTTTTTGAAAGTAAAATATTTTGCTGTCAGATGAGTAATATATATTTATGCTATTTACTGCCATTAAGTACTTCCCTCCTCCCCCACCTAAAAATAAACTTTGATAAATAGAACTTTTCCCTCTCTCAAAAACTGGTTTTTTATAAAATACTAGTTTTAAAGCATTTATGCTAAATAAATTTTAAATTTATTTACCAAAATAAATGTTTTGTTTTTTGTTTTTTTTTAACTTAGACGATTTGATGATATCCGCAGTTATAGTGAATGTCTATTCTCTAATATTACATCACTTCTAAAAATACAGCAGGTATAAAGTCTATTTTCTAATAATATATTGTTTCTAAAAGTACAACAGGTATAAATAAAAAGAATTAAAAAAATATTAATATGAAGTTATGTCAATATTATAACTAAAAAAGTGTTACTGTCAGTTGTTCAAATATTAGTTTTAATTGTGTATTGGTTTAATAATAACCACATTCATTTTTTTCAACAACAAAATACCTAGAAAAAGCAATAAACAATGAGCAAGGATAAATCATTACAAAAACCTTTGTAGTTTAGTAATTTTGAAGTTATTAATTTATGTGCTGCAAAGTATGTTGTACAATATATACTTTTTCTGGTACATCAAGCTGAAACTATGAAAACTTTTCTGGTACATCAAGTTGAAAATATGAAAGCTTTTCTGTGCTCTTTTTTAAATTCTTTTGTTTTTTTTCAAAAAATTTTTTTTTTTATATTTAGTTTACTTTTCTTGTTATTTAATTATTTTTTTATTTTATTTTTCATATTTTTAGAAAATATCAGCAAGACAACAAACAATTTTAAAACAACACATTGAATTTGGAAAACTCTTCAGGTTAAAAGAAGAATTTGGTTGATTATTGAATAGTTATTTGTGCTTATTAACTTATGATAATTCTTTTTATTTTTTACAGCGAATGGAGTGTAATTGAGACTGAAATTGGTGATTCTTTACAACAAGCTGGTCATCAAATGGACAGGTAAAATGAATATAGATGACTTTACGCCAGAATAACAGACAACTAAAAGCTGTTTAACTGGTTTTGATATTATTTTTTCAGATTTTTAAGACCTGTCAATTTTTTTTTTGAAGAGTCAGGTTTTGCATGAATAAGTGAGCAGTCAAGTGTTGTGTTATAAATGGAGCAATCAAGTATTGCATGATTAAATAAGCTTTTCATGTATGTTGATTCATGTATTTCATGAATGCTTTATTAGTGAGTATTCATAAAATACATGATTGCACACTTATTGCATTCATGAAATATATGCTTACACACTTGTTACATTCATGAAATAAATGATTGCACACTTGTTGCATTCATGAAATACATGATTGCACACTTGTTGCATTCATGCAACACTTGATTAGCTCATGTAAAGTGAACAATATATATTCCTCATATTATATTATATTCAATTTCCGCATATTCCTCCCAAGTTTTTCCCATAGTAACTAAAATCAAATTTAGATTTAGCTGTTGTGGTTTCCATTCCACTATTTTTATAATCTTTTCTTTCACTTGTCCAGAACTTTTTATCAAGTAACTTCTCCACAAATTCTATTTTTATTTGTTATGTCATCAATTTATTTGTGTAATGTATATATAAATAAACATATATATATATATATATATATATATATATATATATATATATATATATATATATATATATAAATGTATATATATATATATATATGTATATATATATGTATATATATATGTATATATATATATATATATATATACATATATATATATATATATATGTATATATATGTATATATATATATATATATATGTATATATATATATATATATATGTATATACATGTATATATATATATATGTATATACGTATATATATATATATATGTATATATACGTATATATATATATATATATGTATATATATATATATATATATATATATATATATATATATATATATATATATATATATATATGTATATACATATATATATGTATATGTATATACATGTATATATATATATATGTATATATATATATATATATATATACATATATATATATATATATATATATATATATATATATATGTATATATATATGTATATATATATATATATATATATATATATATATATATATATATATATATATATATATATATATATATATATATATATATATATATAAATAAATAACTGTCAGGTCAGGTTTATCCTGCTACCGGTAACGTGTAACCCAGTGCAATCTGCTTCATGTTCTGCTGCCTTGTAGGATATGCCTTTTAAGGCAAAGGCTAGGAGATGCAAACTCCAACATAAAACACACCCTTCCTTGGGGCTCTTGGTTGAGTAAAGGCTAGAGATGGTGTCTCTATAAAAATACTCATCTTGGGCAGATGTTACATGCATCAGGCTGCTGTCTTGTAGAAGGCCTCCTAGGCAAAGACTTAAGGGGTAAACAGATTCTATCTGTTGACCAGCCTCGCACCCCTTATTCATCTATTAGGCTGGCGCAGATGTATTTTTAATACATTGTTTCCAGTTTAGGATGTTAAATGCTGGATCTTCTTGACTCGATGCATGGGTTTTGCTTGTGTCTCTGTTTTTATGACAAGGCAACTCATTTTATTATCTCCAAATGAGGGTACAGCTCTAAAACTCAGTTTTATGGTTCTGAGGCCGGCTGGTACTTTTGGTGTGCATTGCCAAGGCAACATTGGAGCCCTTTGTTACGGCTTAGGGTTTATTAGTGGAAATCAGGCAATTGCTTGGGCTATAAAACAGTGTACTGAGTACTATCTATGTTTCGAGTCAAGTTCTTTAACAAATTTAAAAATGAATAAAGTAGCAAAAACTATAAAACACAAAAAACCACAGTCATCACCAAGTTCGCTAAACCTATCATTCACCAATATTCGTGGTCTTTGAAGTAACTTTTCTTCTGTTGAGTTTTATCTCTTGCAAAGTTCACCAGACCTACTTGTTCTTTGTGAGACTAATTTGAGTTCTTCTGTCTCATCTTGTGATCTTAGTGTTGATGGTTATCTTCCTTTAATTCGTAAAGACTCCAATAGTCACATGCTTGGCCTGGGCATTTACATTCGTAAGAATTCACCCATTTGTCGGGAAACTAGGTTTGAATCCACAGACTACTCTTTAATGTGCTTTTGTTTAGCACCACTTCAATCTATCACCTTTCTCTTTGTTCTATATCGCTCTCCTTCATCTCAAGACTGCACTCTTCTTGATGTTACTTCTGATTATATTGACCAAGCCCTCATCCATCAGCCAATATTGTTGTTGTCGGTGACTTTAATGTTCATCACACTGAATGGCTTGGCTCTAGTATCAGTGACTCTGGAGGCATTAAGGCCCACAACTTTTGTCTTTCTCAATCCCTAACTCAAATAGTCAACTTTCCAAGTCGGTTTCCAGACAACTCGAATCATTTACCTTCTCTACTCGACTTATGTCTTGTTTTTGATCCTAGTTAGTGCTCAGTTTCTTCACACTCACCCTTAGGTGCTTCTGATCATGGTTTGGTCTCTCTAAAACTATTATCTCATTCTTCTTTACCATCAGAATCCCCCTATTATTGTACATCTTACAACTACCTTAAAGCTGACTGGGACTCTTTCTGTGATTTTCTTCGTGATGGCCCCTGGGTAGAAATCTTTCGTCTCCCTGTTGAAAAATGTGCTTCTTACATAACTTCATATATTCAGGGCTGGCATGGAATCCTTTATTCCCTACTAGACGATTCCAGGTCAAGCCTCACTCTTCTCCATGGTTTTCCTCACATTGTGCTGCTGCAATTGCCAATCGAAACAATTACTTCCATATCTATCAGCAATTCTCCAGAAAACAGACGCCTGTTTATTACTGCTAGGAACCATTGTAAAAAGGTTTTGTCTAACGCTAAAGCCCGCTATTCTCAGATCATGAAATCTCGTATTTCATCACAAAAATTAGGCTCTCGTGACTTCTGGAGAATCTTTAATAGTATCAATAATAAGGGCAAGTCTGTAATTCCACCTCTTTTGTATAGTTCAGACTTTGTCACTTCACCTAAATACAAAGCTGAATTGTTTGCCAAGAACTTTTCTTTAATATAATCTCTTTATGCCACTAGTTGCGTTCTACCTGATTTAGCAGTCAAACAGGATGATCCATTGCTTGACATTCATATCACTCCAGCTTCTGTATCTAAAGTGATTTCTCGCTTAGACTCTTCTACAGCTTGCGGACCGGACAACATAACTGTTATAGTCTTGCAGAAGTGTTTTCCGGAGCTGTCATCTATCCTTTCAAAACTATTTAACAAATGCTTATCAGAGTCTTGTTTTCCACCCTGCTGGAAAGCAGCATCTGTTATCCTTATTTTTAAAAATTCTGGAAAGCAATCTGATTCGTCTAACTACTGTCCCATTAGTCTTCTTCCTATCATAAGCAAGGTTTTTGAATCTTTAATTAACAAACACTAAATCTCTCATCTTGAATCTCATAACCTACTTTCTGATCATCAATATGGATTTCGATCTTCTCGTTCTACGGCTGATTTGCCAACAGTAATATCCAATAGGTTTTATCGCGCATTAGATAAAGGTGGAGAGATTAAGGCCATTGCTTTTGACATTTCTAAAGCGTTTGATAAAGTTTGGCATGCTGGTCTCCTCCATAAGCTTTCTTCTTACGGTGTATCTGGAAACATCTTTAAGATTATTGAATCCTTTTTTTCCAATCGTAGTATAAAAGTTGTCCTTGATGGACAGCACTCTTCTTCTTATTCTGTAACCTTGGGGAACCCCTGAGGTTACAGAATAAGAAGATCACATCTAAAGTGGCATTGTTCGCTGATGATACTACCTTTTATTCTTGTCACGATAAAAAGCCAACTCCCGCTGATTGCTTGCAGGGGGCATCTGAGCTTGAAAAGGATCTCACTTCTGCTACAGCATAGGGCTCACAGTGCCTGGTGAACTTTAATTTAGATAAAACTCAATTTTTTTGGCCAATCATTATCGCAATAGTTTAGACCTTCCTGTATTTATGAATGGAATGTACTAGATAAGTCTCCTACCCTTCATCTTCTAGGATTAACTCGTACTTCTGATCTTTCTTGGAAACCTTATATCAAATCCGTTGCAAAATTAGCATCTGCTAAAGTTGCTTCTTTTTATCGAGCTCGACACTTTCTTACTCTGGATTCTATTCTCTATATCTATAAACCTCAAATCTGACCTTGTATGGAATACTGTTGCCATATCTGGGGCAGATCTTCTAATGATGCTCTTTTATTTTTAGGCAAGGTGCAAAAATGAGTTGTAAACATAGTTGGACCTGTTTTTGCAACCAACTTTCAACCATTATCACATTGTTGTAATGTTGCTTCTCTTTCTCTTTTCTACAAATACTATAATGGGCACTGCTCTAAAGAGCTAGCGTCTCTTGTGCCATCTACTAAAATTCATTCTCGTGTTACTTGTCATTCAATTAAGTCTCATCCTTTTTTTGTTATTGTTCCTAAGTGCTCCAAAAACTCTTATTCCTAAATTTACTCATTATCTTGCTTTCCTGATTCATATAATTTGCAATCTTTTAAGTCGTTTGTCAATCGTTATCTTGCTCTACAAGATTTATCTTTTTCTCTTCCAGTAACTACCAACACTTATTAGTGGTTGCTTGCAGCTTTGTTGGAAGCGAAAATGTTTAAAAAAAAAAAAAAAAGTCAAATTTTTTTTATGTAAACTTCCATTTATGATCTACTCAGATTTTTTTTTTTTTGCACTTTTTTAAAGTTAATCTACAGAGTTTTTTTAATTTTATATCTATGAACTCTGTAAAATGATTGGCAAATGAATCTTTCATTTTTTTGATAGCGGTAAAAAATAAAAAAGTATTTAAAAAATGTTAAAAAGACTTTCTGCATCTCAATACTTTTTTAAACAAAAAAAAAAAAAAAAAAAGTTAATTTTGATTGGTAATATCTTGAAGTAACACAGATATTTGACTTTCAAAAAAAAAACTTCATTTTCTAAAATCTTTTCAATATCTTATTAAGACTGTTAAGATTTCATAACCACATCAAAATAAAATGTTTGTAACCAATTGACATAGTTTAACTCCAGGTATTCAAAAGCTTTAGAAGACAAAAAATGTTTTAATACTGATACAGTGACCAAAATATTCAAGAACACCCTCTAGATAACCAACAAACATTTTTATACAACGATTAGAGTATTTTTCATTAAGTAATAAACAAATTTCGCAAAATTTATTGTATTTGAGACAATTTTATTTGACTGTTTTTACTAAAAAAAAATTCTAAAAATTTTTATGTTTTCAATGTTGAAAAGTAATGTTTAGAAAAAGTACAAAATAGTTTAAAAGTTAATGGTGACAGGGTTTAATGATGTTAGATTAATTTCCATTTCTAATCTTATTGTTTTCACGCTAATTGAATTTTATTTTAAAACATTTAAAATTTTACAATTTTTAAATATGTTCACATTTTTGCACTTTTGTGGAAGCCTGTGTCTGGCAAATGCCATATAAATAATTATGTACTTTTTTTTAGATGTAATTCTATTCAACTTAAAATCATTATTTCATTGGAAAAAAAAAATTAATTTTTTTATTTGTTTCAATAAATTTAAAATATATATAATTTAGACATGTTATGTATATATATATATATATATATATATATATATATATATATATATATATATATATATATATATATATATATATATATATATATATATATATATATATATATATATATATATATATATATATATATATATATATATATATATATATATATATATATATATATATATATATATATATATATATATATATATATATATATATATATACATGGCTCTCTGGCTCTAACCAATTACTATTTTTTAACACTTTATGCATTTGTTCAAAATTATTATTCAAGAGGACATAAAAAGTTTAAAAAGACTTTAAAAGTTTATTCTAAAAGAGAAAGCCATATTTCTATTCTAATCACAAAACTTGTCAAATTTTTTCAAAAGTGAATAAATTCAAAAAATAGCTATTTTGGTTTTTTTAAAAAAAATTTTCTAAATTTTTTTATTTTTAACTTATTACCCTAAAGTTGAAATTATTAAAATTAAATTATTTTCTGAATGATCTGATATATAATATGTTTTTTTTGTATTTTAATTTGTAACTTTTGATTTTAAGACTAGGGTCACAATCAGAATCTATATACAATGAAGAACAAGTTGCATACATTGATCAGCTTAAGGAATATCTCTATTTTACAGAATCATTAAGGTACATTTAGATTTTGCTTTATTCTTGCTTTTTAAAACATTTTTAGCAACTTTAAACTTCTTGTTTAATGTTTATACAATCGTTTTAGCAGTCTAGTTGTAAAAAATATAACATTTTATTCTTTTTTTTCTTTTTCTTAGGATTAAAAAATAATTATGCACAATTGTTGTTAATTTCTTATTTATGTCCATGAATGCTATAACCTTCTTTAAACGTGACTAGATAAACAAATAATATAAATAATGCTGTATTTATTTTCTTCAAATAAAAGCTATATTTTTATTTGCTACTTTCATTACATTTGTTGTAATTTTTTTATATAACTCAAATTTGATAACTATTGTGCGACAATCTTTTTGACAAGATAAATTTCAGGTTGTTTGTTTAGTTATAAAGAAAACTTTAAGTGATTTGATTTATTCAAAGCATTTTACTATTTAACTCTTATTGGTTGACTTTTAAAAAAATATAATTTTTATCAGATATATTATCTACTCAAGGAAATTTCTGAAAACATTTTCTAGAGCAGTAGTCATTTATTTAGAAAATAGAATTATTGAAACCAGTGATAAAGTTCTAAGAAAATTTTTTATTTAAAGACTATTATTGAGATAAGTGATACTATGAAAATGAATTTAAAATATTATATTTTTTAAAATTAAAATTATTTTAGTTTGCAAAATAAGAAGTTGTTACAAAATAAAAGTTGCTTACTACTAATCTTATGTTCATTGTGGCTAAATATTGTTTTCATTTATAATATCGCCTAGTTTTAATATCACCAAGGGTACTAGGTAGCATGGTCAAGGTTTGTAAGACATTTAAAACAAAATTTTCTTAATAGCTATGATGAAATTGTATAGTCAATACTTAAAATGTTTTTTTAAAAACAGACTTATAAAAACTTTTCTGAGAAATCATCTGTTGTGATACTAGATTTCTTCTACTTTGTTATTTTGTACAGTTTTGGACATCTTTGTATTTTACATTACTTATGTAAGTAAAATTATTTTCCTTTAACATCAAAGATTTGCATAATTAAAAAAGGTTTTGTAAAGAATTTTATTTTAGCTTAATGACAATGTTTTTCAAAAATAGTAATGTTACAAAAATAAAACATACATAGCTAGAACTAGCACAAAAAGTTTGCAAAAACTTTTTATTTGACATACCCTTTTTTTTTTTTGCGGTGAGGGGAATACTTTAGTACAAAATTATATCTTTTAAACTTGTTTTTTAATTTTATATTTAAATATTATCTCAACCCTATTTAATGGGATTTAAAATAGCTTAACTTAGTGTTATAATTTATAGCTTAGGTTATAATTCAAAGCTTAAGTTGCAGTTATAGTGTAATTTGCAAAAAACTTTTAATGTGCAAATAACATATTAAAAGTAGTAAATTAAAATTTAAACCAGTTTTAAAAATAACTAAATAGGAATTGATAATAACATTATTACCATAAAACATTGAAAAACTTTGAAATTATTTTTAATTATTTATCTTAATTATTTTATAAAAACATTTACAGCTATAAACCAAGCAAATAAGGCTAAATAAAAAAAAACAAAATGAGTCTCAAAAAAACTCAAAAATTTATAAAATTTATTAGATACCCTGTTCTTTCTAGATGTATCGCTTTTTGATCTAGTGCACTATTAAAAATTAAAGTTTTAATCTATTGAATAAAAAAAATAGTTTTTTCATTCAATAGCTTTTTCAAGTTTTTTATTTTGTTTGTTTAAATTATTTTGCAATGAAAAGTAAAGCAATAGAAAAAAATTTGGTTTATACCGCTGCGTAAGTTAAAACATAGTAACTTGAAAAAACGTTTTAATGTTTTAAACTTTACAAACATAGTTTAATGTGGTAGTTACTATCTTTTGGGTCAGTAATATCTAAAAAATAATTTTTTTAAGATATAACTGACCCAAAAAAATGTCCTAAGGTAATGTCTGTACTAAGCCTTATTTTAAAAGCATGGTTTTAAATATGAATGTTGTCAAAATCATGCAATTTATGTTTTAACATTAGATAGAAAAAGATAGGAACCATTTTACACTCCTTACAGTTGTGAAACCCATGAATGGCTATGGAACTATTTTATAACCCTAAATCATGAAACCCATTTTACAATCCTGAGTTTAAGAAACCAAAAAGTGAACAAATTGAAAAAATTGAACTTATTTTCAATCAAGATTCATTACTTGATTTTTTTTAATAATGCACTTTTTTTTTTATCCAATGGTTACTGGTGATAAGGTTTCTTCTTCAGGTTATCCTATTTGGGAATTTTATATATACTAAAGTATATTTTTATTTAGTTTTTTAGTATTTTTTATTTTAAAGTGTTAGTAATTTATTTTATTACTTGATGTAAATAAATTAAAAGTATAAATTTTAAAAATTTGTTTCAAAATATATTTTTTTTAATTTGAAAAAAAAATTTTTTTGTTTAAAATTTAGTGTAAATAAGCAAAAATTAATTTATCATAGTATTAATATTTAATAATAAAAAATAAAAATATGATTTACAATAATAATAAAAAATACCGTTATTGTTTAACTTCAATAGCAAATATTGAATTTAAACACTTAAAAAAGTATGTTTTAAATAAATTCACAAAAAGAAGAATAACTTTTTATCATTTAGAGCTATAGTGCGTAAGCAATACCTAAAACAATTTGAATTAGAAAGGGCAGAGGAGGCTCTTGCAGCTAAGAGTAAACAAAAAGAAGAATTAGCAAAAGAAATCAATGCAACACAGGTTGCCAAATCAAAAAGTTGCATTTCAAACATTTTTAATGGTTTCAAAGTGTTTTGACTTTTAAATTTTTGATTTCTAGAATGGTACTGAAGCACCAACAAGTGGTTTTACTTTTAAATCTGTTTCTAATATGCTGTTTGGTCAAGATAGCATGGAGGTGCGCCAGGAAAAGTTGTTGCTTCTTGAAGAACAAGTTAAAGAAGCTGAGGAAAATCTTAAGATGGTTTCTGAAGAGGCTGAGTTAGTAGTAATTATATATTGTTAATAAAACTTATGTTTTTATTGTTTATCGTTGCCATAGCTATAAATTGAAATATGTTGAGAATGAGAATTCATTCACTTTGCGGTAAAAAACTAGCACTGTTTATTATTATTTATTATTTTTGTTTTCTTTATTAATTTTGGTATCTTTTTATAAATAAAGTTACTAAATAAAAAAAAGTATTTTTGTTACTTATTATATATATTATAGATATTTCATTTTATTATTATTTTAATTTTTCTGTGTTTTTTTATTTTTGTAGGATTTTTGTGGAGAAATCGTTAAAAGATATTGATCGGTTTAAAAAACAGAAAGTTCGCGACATCAATGAGATCATGGAAAATTATGTTAAAACTCAATACAAAGTCAATAAGCTGGTGAATAAATTTGATAAAAAAAATTTGCTTAATAAAAAAAGAAAAACTAATTTACTATTATTCAAGGCTTCCCAGGAACGCGTGTGGTCGCATTTTAAGAATTTACTGCAAAATAAAGCTCTAAGCTCTACAGACAATAATTAATAAAACAGCAATACTCAAAGAAAGGAAAGGAATACTTTATGAAATAGAATATCTAAATATAATAAACAACAAAAAAAAAAGTTTTGGTAAAAAAAATAATATACCTAAATATTTTACTGTTTTTTTTTGTTGTTGTTTTTTTTACCGCGTTTATTATTTTCCTCTACCAAAACTACTACAAGTCAAGGAAAAAGGCAGAATATTAGGAAAAAGAAAGCAATATTTTGATATACAATTTATTTCTGACTTTTATCAGTCAGTATATTAAGGAAATACTTTATTATTTGCGCTAAAAATAGGGACAATTTTAAAATTAGTTTTTAAAATGTTTTTCACTAAACTTAACTGTTTTTATAAATGCACAATGAGAAAACTAATGTTTATTTATAAAACTTTTATTTTTTTATTTTTTAACAACTTTTTCATGTAAATAATAAATAATATAATTGAGTTTTTTTCACTATCCCCATTGAAATAGCCTGCATTTTCATTGGATTCTCCATATTGTGCATTTAAACCTGATAGTTCATTTCCTGATGAACTTTTGTTATTGACGCTCAATGCACTAGGCCAAAAGCTTTTGGGTTAGTGCATTGTTAATTTACTTAACTTTTTAAATAAATTTTTAAGAGTCTTTTTTTAAAATTTTTGTCAAGTTTTTAAATACATTTTTTCAAACAGAGCAATCATGTTTATTATCTCTAAAATTTTTTTTTTTTTTTTTTTTTTTTTTTTTTTTGTAATTCACCTCCCCAAGGTCAAGAAGGTCACAACAGATAAGGAGGCTATTTGTGGTTATAACCCTCTCTCAACTCTTTAACTCCAAAACACGAATCTTGACAAACAAGGCCACTGCGTAGAGAAACAAGTTAAGCACAGTACTACCAGGGACGTGGTGGAAATCAAACTCGGAACCTCTTGTTCATGAAGCTCTATTATTACACTACTACTGCATTTCATCATAACATTGAAACCACCACTATCGCATTTCATTTTACATTGAAACCACGACTACCACATTTCATCTTAAAATTGAAACCACGACTCCCGCATTTCATCTTAACATTGAAACCACGACTCCCGCATTTCATCTTAACATTGAAACCGCGACTCCCGCATTTCATCTTAACATTGAAACCACGACTCCCGCATTTCATCTTAACATTGAAACCACGACTACCGCATTTCATTTTAACATTGGAAATTGGGCAATATAAAGGAAACCATTTCAGGCAAAAACACATATTGTAAATACATTTATAAAAGAAATTATGGTATTCATTTAATTTCTTCCATCATTACAAAATTTATTAATTAAATAATATATTTTACAAATAAATAGCAACTTATTTTCTTATTTTCCTAATACATAAGTATTGAGAAAAAACATCAAATGTCTTTTAAAGCAAAAAGATGTAAAAACAAATAAACGTAAAAAAAAAGTTAAAAAGTTTCTCATAGTTCTAGCGTGCATAGCAAATTAGTTTCTTAAAAATTAATAAATTACATATCAAATCATACAATTGTTGTTATAAAGTTTGTTGTTATAAATTATAATATGTTTTCCATGACTTGACAAATTCTGTAGCTAAAAATAACAAACACCTTAAAAAAAAATAATAACAACCACCCTAAAAAAAAGAATAGAAAAGTTGTATAAAAATTTTATTAAATTTTTTTTTATAATTATTAAATTTTTCTAGTTTACTTAATTAAAATTTATGATTGGTTGAGGTTTTATAAAAAATTGATTTATAAAAAATGTATTCTTTAATCACATATTTTGTTACAATTTTGTTTCCTTTTTTTAGTATTGGTTTCTTTTTTCTCAGCAGATAATTTAACTTTTTGCTACAAATTATTGAAATGCTTTAAAAGTTAAAAAAAATGCGAACTGCCATGGTCAATATGTCTAAATAAATTACTTTGAATGGGGATGAACAAGGTATGTGACCACACACATTTCCCAGGAAGGTTTGATTATTAGTATTAACTTTCAGAAATTCAAAGTAACTTTTTTTTTAACCATTTGTACTATAATTGGCAAAACCAGAAACTTTTGTATTGTTCTCACAATACACAATACAAAAGATTAGATTTTCTTTTTTTTCCCAAGCCACATTTAATTTTTTAGGTTTCTATACAGCCCAAAAATTTGTTTACAAGTAAAATGAAAAAAACTAGACTTTTTAAGGCCATTATTGATTAGCTTGTGCTAAAACAAATTTTTGAAACAAATATGTATTTAATTTTTTCTGTATATCAAGTTGTTCAATCTCATCGGTGGCCTTGTCAGACATGTTTTAAATGTTTAGTTGTTGTTTATTTATAATAAGTTATTTATAATAAGTTATAATAAGCGGCTTACAGTTGTAATTTTTTCTACTCTAATTTTTTCATCAGTTTGATGGCAAAAATATTTGAATTAATAGATATAATTTTATTTTGTTATTTTTAGGGTTTACAACCATGGCAATCTATGAAAGATATAAATTTTTTATTTTTAGGGTTTACAACAATGGCAATCTATGAAAGAGTATTTTATGCAAATGTAACTTTGAAAATTTATTTTTGAATCTAACAATTATAGTCTTGAATTTTTCAAATTGTATGAATTCTGAATGTTTCCATTGAATGTATACCTGCAACATGAAATCTTGGAAGTCTTTGCAGCCTTTTGCTGAAACTTAAAAAGATATTTTTTTTACTCTATTTATTTTTTAAATTAATGTGAAAGAAAACTTTTTTTCTATAAAAATTTTCTATTATTATTTTTGTTAAAAAGTCTTTTACACTATGGAAATCTTATTTTTATTGGATTTTTCTTAGTTTGTAGGCTTACTAGGTATTTTTATTACCTTAGAATTTTTTTTTTTTTTATATCTTAAAAATGTTTACTAAAATTTCAGTATGTTTATGAGTTATTTGTCAAGTTGTGTTATTTTTTAAATGCTTATAAGTTATTATTTGTCAATATTGCGTTATTTTTTAAGTGCTTTCAGAAAAATATATAAAAATTGTTAGTCTTAAACTTTGTTAAACTAAATTTGTTAAATTTTCATAGTCTCTTTAAAAGTCCCTATTTATTTCATTTATTTCATTTTTTCAGTCATTTCAGTTTTAAATAGTCGTTAACTGAAAGTAATTCAATTACTGCATTATCATGTTATACAGTTATCTATGAGTGGAGTATCTATGAGTACAGTATCTATGAGTATCTATATAGTGGAGTAATTTTACTACTGTTTAGAATGCAAAACTACAAAAAAAATTATTTTTTTTGTATTTTTTGAACAATCCGCTCACAACCCTTTAACTAGGAAACAGGAACCTTAAAAAAAAAGTTGTGTGGTAAAAATAATTTGAGTCTGTTAGAAACATATGGATATCGTAAGAATGCAAAATAAGCATTCTACCACTGCTGTGTTTTGTAACTATAGTAGCACTCTGTGTACCACTATCACTAAATTAAGTGATGTGATTCTGATAGATTGAGAAAGTGGTACTATTTGTAATTGAATATAATTAAATTATAATAACATGCTATTTAATTACAATTTCATTAAGCTTAATTGTATTTTATTAAGCTTAATTCTATTTTTATACTATATTATTTCATTAAGCTTAATTCTATTTTTATACTATATTATTATTGTTATATTGCTGTACATTTCACAATAAACACAATAAAAAAATAAATTTACATTATGATAATATAATTGTGTAATTTATATAATTATAATATTTAGTGTTTTTTTAACAAGAATACAGATTTTTATATACCACCAACAAAAGTATAATTAAGAGGATGACAATCGAAATACCAAGTTTTGAGTCAGTGAATAACAAAGATGATGCTTTTGTTAGTCCTTTACCAGAGTTATGTGTTATGATCAAAGGTTCTACGATGCTTAAAGCTGGAAGAATGGTATTATCTTAGTATAATATTACTAATTAAATTTTTATTGTCAGCAATATTGTCAACATTTGCTGTCAATATTTTTTGTTATTTTTTTATGATTGCTATTATTGTAACTATTATACTTCAATTTTTGTTTATTTTTGTATTTTTTATAATTATAATTGTTTGGCTTATTCTTCCTTTTTTTCTTTTGTTATTTTCTTCAAATGTTTTGATGAATAAAGTATTTTTATAGGATTTTTATAAAATAATAGTTTTTAAAATTTTTTAAAGGGACGACCACATTTTCGAAAGTTTCATATGTCTGCAGGTTTTAAATGTTTTTTATAATTTAAATTTTTATTTATTTCTCAAGCATTTATTATATTGTTTAAGCAATCAATGCATTTTTTTATAGACTTTTGTGAGATTTTTTACTTTAAATAAAACTTTCTAGATATATTCATTTTGTTTTAAAGTTATTCGGATGGCATATGCTAGCAGTTGTATTTACACAATTCAGTACTTCTAATTTTATTTATTTTATTATTTATTCAATTAAACTTATTATTAAGTTTTAATAATTGTTAAGTAAAATAGAGTGTACAATAAGAAATTGTAAATGTACATATAAATTATTCTAATCTTACTTAACATTAATAGAAATATTTTTTATTTGCGATCAAGTTTAAACATTGGTGCGATTATTTATGTTATACAACTTGCAGCCGTTTAAGTATTTACAATGAAAATAAAAAATCTTTTATTTTTTATTATTGTACCTGAAAAAATATGTTATAATTCATTAATTTAAATACTAAAAAATGTTACAAAAAATATTTTTTTATTAAGTTTAAGAACTTTGTAGTTTCACAAGTGTACTTTTTAATTTTGTTTGTTTTTTTGTTTGTTTGTTCAAATTACTTATGTTATTTTTTATTAGACTTAAAATTGTTGCAATGGGAGTCACCAAACAAAGGTGCTGCTGAGTCTTCAGGTGAGTTTTACATATAGAAAGAAATAATGTTATAGGTACACATAATATAAGAGCTTAACGATTTAAAGTTTGTTCTACCTGAACAAGCTATAATTATATAAGTAAAATATAACTATTTAAAGAAACTCTTCTTTATAATCGCAGAAGAAAAAGGTTTTAAAGAAGTTTGTTATAATATTTTCAATTTGTGAAAGAGAGGCTAAAAAAAAGTTATATTACTTTGATTTTTTTGGTTATTCTATATTTACTCAACAAGGAAATTCCTTTTTTTGTTTTTTTTTTTAGTTGCAATAGGAGATATTGAAGAAGTAATAGCTGGACAAAAAACAAAAATATTTGAAGGAAATCCTATTCCAGAATATGAGGTAATTTTTTGTTACATAGATATAAAAAGGTTCCTTCCTAACCATTAAATTTTAGAATCTGCTTAGCTATACACCAGAAAAAAAAGCTGAATATCTAACTTTACTTTCCTACAGTTTATCAGTTAGGTGCAGATAAGTCTTCTTTATTTTAATTAAACTCTTTATTTTTTAAACTCTTTATTTGCCCCTCCCTTTAATACAATCTTCTCCAACATGCCTATTTTCCTAACCACTCACAACTTTAAAAGCATATCTTTTCTCCTGCAAATCTAACATCTCGCCAAGTAATTTCTGCTCATACCATTGAACTTTGTATTTAGCTTCCTTTGTTATTTTCTTATACAGTTAATACAAGGGTCTTCTGCATTCCACCACCATGATGTCACTGAGAACCCTTTTTTCACTTCTATAAAGTCTTTATGTTTTTCAATGTACATTTGAGATTTCTTTTTGACCAGATTTGGTTCAGATCTCCTTTTACTCTAAATTACTTTCTATTCAGTATGCGGAAACATATCATCTTCCATGATATCTTTGCACACCAAGTCAGTGTGCAAAGATATCATTGTTTAAATAATTTTATCAATTTTGTGAATAGGACCAGTTTCTAGTGCTGAGAAGCATTCCCAAACCGTAGCAGACGTTCCATTCTTAACACTTTTCTTGGTATTTTTAGTGTTCTATCTTGTGTTCTTTGGTCTTCAAACTTGCTTTTTGTGGTTGCTTCTTAAGAGGTTGTATTTTGATTCATCACTAAAATGTTTTTCTACAGTCCAAATTTGGTGTTGTTCAGTAAAAGTATGCCTTTATTACACTGCAATTAGAGATTTATAGTTCGTGTTTTTTGGTTGATTTTGCGGATGACAAAAATCTTTTTAAGCTCTTTAACAATTCTTCGATCTAGACTTAGTGATGTTTTTATTGGGTCTCCACCCCAATTTTTGTTTACATAGCATTCACAAAATTCAAATGGTTTTACAGTTTTGCTTACAGTAGACTTAGCAGTATTATATTTTCTACAAATTTAAGCTTGAAATTTTTGACTTGTCCACCTTGTTTTGCCCAAAGAAAAATATTGTTTTATAAGGAAAATGTATATATTGTTTTTTACTTTTTTTTCAGTTTTTAATCAAGTTTTATTTTAAGTTTGAGATTGTCTACCATGTTTGTCTGATATTGTAAATATAATAAATTAACTATGGCTGCTTCATAAACTGCAAGACTCTTTATGAAAACAAAATTATCAATTTATTTAGGCTTTAGTGTGTCAGCTTTAAGAGATATTTTGTCTGCTAGTCAAAAAAGCATTACTCCTACAGCTTCTTATATTTTCTATATTATACAAAATAGTTTTGCATGATGATATTAATTTTTGTTCTTAGAAGAAATATTTTAATGAGAGATCTCTCTCAGCTGCTAACTGACATTGTTTTTTAACAGTGGAAACAGATAAAAGCTGTTGCTTCAGCAGATGAAAGCTGTTTCTCTTTTTAAACCTTCAGCGATAAAGCTTTAAACCTCCAGTGGTTTTCTCCAGTGGTTTTTTTTCCAGAAGCTTTCTCATGTGATTTATTTGAGATAAAGTACAATAGAAAGCTTCCAAGATACATGGAACATAAGAATTTTAAATAAAGTTCGGGAATTTCTGGAAATGCGATGTGTCAGCAAGCCAATAAATCTTATTGGTTTAACGGGTTTGTTGACTCCAGAATGTACTATAGCGAATTTTCTTTGGATAATTTCATTGTCATTTTGTTGACAAGAGTTTTAAGTTTGTTTTACTTTGTTAAAGTTTTGTAGATTTCTGTAAAGAATCTTAATTAGAATATATATATATATATATATATATATATAATATTTGATAGTAGCAGAGGGTAGTTACATTTAATAATAGTTAATTGTTTTATTGTTATTGCTTCGAAATTTACTGAAGTCGTGAAATCAAAGAAGAACTTTAATAAAGTAAAAACTATGGTAGAAACAAAAAAAAAAATAATAACAATTGTCGGAAGAAGAATCAGCAAATAATAAAGATGTTTATATATTTATGGCGTCACTCAAACAAAAGAAAACAATAGCAAAGACTTACTTAACGAAAACAAAATATAAACTGTTGCAGTTATTCGATGATAATATGTTTAGCACATGTGGGTTCAAAGAACATCAAAAGAAATATGAAAATCAACATCAGGCAGTAATTGAATTGTTAACACAGTTATCCCAACAGTATGAAGTTTTGAGAAATGTTGATAAAATGTGTAAAGTAGTTGACGAAATTGAAAAAATCGAGTTATGGATAAAATAAATGGACATTTTTTCAGTAGAAAAGACAGTTCTTCAAGCATAACACCAGCTGTTCCATCTAATGTTGAAATATTGCAGCGAAATGAAATACAAAATCAAGACACCATTTTCAAGAAGCAGATCTTAAACAAAAATAAGAAAAACTTCTGTTAAAAAAGAATGCACTAGAAGAAAAATACAAAAGGAAATTAGAAGCACTTGAAAAAGAAAATGTTGACGAAAGCACGAGCTTTATGGAAAGTAATTATATTTATGCAAATCAAGAAGTTATACAAAGTATTTCAGACAATGAATTAAATGCAGATATTGGTGTCTTTAAATCATCAAAATCAAACTCAAAGTTACTTTCAATTCCAAATTCAAACCCTGAAGAAAAAGTAAATATAAGAAAGCAAGATATTGGACACGATTTATGGAGACAGTTAAAAAGAGTTTCGATACCTGTTTTTACTGGTGATAAGCATAACTATGAAAACTGGAAGTCGGCATTCCTAGCCTGTTGATCAAGCTCCCACGACTGCAGAGTACAAATTGTTGCAGTTACGACAATACCTGTCTGGTTCAGCGTTAACCACCATTGATAGATTGGGTCACTTGAGATTAGATTGAATCAGTTGATGCTTGGGAAACAACCATACTGGAAGTCTGTGTTCTAAAGCAAGAATATGTGGTATTAATGGATGTAACGAAACACATAACAAATTGTTACATAAGTCAAATCCAATTAATTGAAAGAAATAAAAAGTCGCAGTTAATGAATATCATAGAGGAGGAGCAACTTAAAGAAACTGCAAACATTACAATGTCAACTGAATCGAAACTTAAAAATAATGGTTGTGATGTTTATGTAGCACTTAGAACTGTTCCAGTCTTCCTGAAGAATCGTGGAAAGAAAATTATAGTTAATGCCTTGTTGGATGATACAAGTACGAAGACCTATTTAAATAACGATGTTGCTAGTGAACTAGGTTAAAATGGTAAACCACAAGAAGTTACAGTAAGCATTTTAAGTAATCGAACTGATACGTTTCAGAAACGCCTGTTGAATTTGAACCAGAAAGTTTGGATGGTAAAGTGAATATGAAAATTGCAGCATATACAGCAAACAAAGTAACTAGATACTTAAAACCAGTTGAGTGGAAGAAACATGCAACAAAATGCAAACATTTGAAAAATATAGATTTTCCGAGCGTGGGTACAAAACCAATTATTTCGATTTTAATTGGTATAGACTATGCTGACCTTCACTACTCAGTTAAAGATGTATGTGGACATCCAGGAGAACCTGTTGCTTGTCTCACTCCACTATGATGGACTGTTAAATTAAATCAAAATTATTATATGAGCTTCATTCATACATTTTTTACTAATGAAGAACAATACAACACAGCAACAGATGATATACTTTGGCAATTTCAGCATATCAAAGAGACCCCGAGTAAGCAAGAGTATTCCATGAGCGTCGATGAGAAAGCAGCAATGGTAGCTGTTCAAAAAGCTGTTATTAGGATAAACCATCAGACTACAAAAACACAACAGTATTTGATGGATCAGCAAAGCATAACGGATTATCTCCTAATGATAAAATTCTTCAAGGTCCAAAGCTTCAGCAAGACTTGTTTCGAGTGTAACTACGATATCCGGTGGCAGTGATTTGCGATATAGCAGAAATGTATCTGCAAATATCTGTTTCACCAGACGATAGAAAGTTTCAAAGATTTTTATGGAGAGATCTAGATCAAAGCAGGGACCCAGACATTCCTAAGAGTAGTGTTTGGTATCAATTCATCGCCTTTTTTAGTACAGTTTGTATCACAAGAAAATGCAAAGAAACACATTGAAAAGTATCCTTTAGCTGCAGAAACAATTCTTAAATCGACATACTTGGATGATAGTATCGACTCTGTTACTGATGAAAAAACTGGTATTGAGTTATACAAACAGTTAAATACAGTTTATTATTTAACTGGAATGCATGCACGAAAATGGTTCAACTCCAAAATAGAACTCCAAAATAGATTAAAGGTTGATCTCAAGAAGTAGATTTGTGAATTGAAAATTAAAATTAAATTTGTGAAAGTGAATTGCCGTCAATCAAAACCTTAGGGATCATGTGGTTATCAAAAGAAGACATTTTTGCATTTTAGTATCAAGCATCTGATAAAAAATTTTTAATTCACCAAAAGAAACTTCTTAAGAAAGATAGCAACACTATTTGATTGTCTTGGACTTTTATCACCCTACACAATGAGAGCAAAAGTGCTCTTACAGGTGGTGGACCAGTGGGATTAGTTGGGATGAATTGTTGGATCCTAAACAATCTCAACTAGCATCTAAATGGTTCCAAAAGTTAAAGGATGTACAAGACATAAAAATACCAAGATGCATTCAACAACAAAATCAAAGTTTAGTGGTACTTTCACTTCACACATTTACAGATGCTTCCGAAATTGCATATGAAGCTGTAACTTATGCAAAATGTCAATATAAAAGTGGCGAAGTTTCTATTAACCTTATTGCAGCCAAATCAAGAGAGGCGTCTTTATCTGCATTAAGCATCCCACGATTAGAACTACTTGGTGCAGTTTTAGGATCGAGATTAAGTCACAGTATCACAGCAACTTATAAAATTGATATTTAAGAAGTGACATTCTGGACTGACAGCATGAATGTGATATGGCGGATACATAATCAGA